GAAATTAAGGTAAACCCAAGCCAATTCAAGGAAGAACAAAGGAATTAGTGGCTGTTCTTACCGAAAAAGCCTAGAATTCGCACAAGCTACAGCTCGCGGATGGCAGAGGGAGGAAAACGCAGAGCATATCTGGAATTTCTGGGTTGAGAGAGAGAGTTCTAAGCTTGAAACTTGGTTCTTGAGCAAGAAAGGAGGGAAAATTTCAAGAAGCCTTGCCGGTCTTTCAAAGGGAGTGCTGTCGGCTTGGGTCTTCTTTTTGGGAGCTGCTGGGGAAGAAGAAGAAGAGCAAAACACGTAAATGGCTGAGGGGGAAAAGAAGAAATATTAGCTGGATCCTTATCCAAATTCTTTCCCCTTTTTAGCCCCTTGAATTTAACACAAATTGCCATTAGGTTCACTAATAATATTCCCTCACAATCAAGTCCTTAACTAAGTGCTAAAATTCCCAAAATTTTGGGATATTACACCTTATCACATATTCCTCGCTATAGCGGAGTCTAACTTAATGAGATTTACCTCTTCGCGACTTGGTGGACTAGTGGGAGTGCTTTTTCGATTCCATATAGTTCACGCACTAGCCATGGACAAAGCTAGCCACTGTTGTCCCTCTGACCATGGGAAGGCCATTCATGGCTGACCCTACAATACTTATACAACATGGCCAGCTATCATGGATAATTATCATTCTCCTATACAAAGGGACAAAGTTATCGATCGACGGTAATCCCAATCTATAACATATCTCTTTTATATTTTATGTGTTAGCAGGTATCGCCAATAGCAAAGCTTGGCTCGAGACAACAATATCGCAGTGCACGTATCTATATCATCTATTCTCTGTTCTGTTGTAACGCTAGCCATACACAACGATAATATATTAGTGCTTGCCACGGCTAGCAAATGAATGGGAGCAGCAAACATATGTCCACAGAGCCTCCTTCAACTTACAAAGGAATTTCCTTTTTCACTGCATACATTCACATGTTCCTTATATTCAAGATACTCAAACATGTACTCATATGTGCTTTGTTATTATCATAGGTAAACGCAAGCCCATGAACCTAAGCTCACAAGAATTACTCAGGACAAACTATGGGAGTAGTGGCTTGGTAGGCATGGATGGATGAACGCTACCCATTTGGTGAAGCAAAGCATTCACACCAGCGAAGCTTGGTGTTGGTGATGTTGCCTGACTTCACCAAAAAGGGTTGGGTAAAGAAGGCGTGGAAGCAAATTTAATTCTTGGAATAGTACCCTTTGATGCTAACCAGGCTGGAAATCCTGTTGAAGACTAACCAAAGATGCCATTTGGATCACCATCAGCAACTTGCAGCCATATTTAATGCAAAGGTGGTTGCACAAGTTTCATAGCCTTGGAAACTACTACAAAAATCACTATTTGCTTGCAAAACCTCCCAAAATCCCACACAGATTTGGGGAACTTAACAAATCACAGTGTAGGTGGTGTTCCTACCGCTTGCACTTAAGCACCTCTCCAAAAATGAAGTTTCGTATAGTTAGGAGAATTTCCATAAATAAACAGTTTTTAGTCCAGCGTTGGAACCAGCGAAGCTTCACTGGAACTGATAGGCAACTCATGATGATATTACCAAAGAAGCCATCAATAGTGCCCAAAACCATTCAAAGCTTAACAGCTCACTTGGTCTCATCTACACATCTTTGACCCATTAAGTGGAATTACAAAAATGCCACTAGCCATATATATTACCTTTCGTTTATTCTTCAAAAAAAAAAAAAGAGGAGATACAAAGAACAGACAAGCTTTTTCCAACTTGCTACCACACGCATCAGACCTCCATTTTCCTCTTAAAATCCCTTCATCTTTAATCAACCATCCTACCATCTTGCACAGTGAAAACCCATTCGGAAATCACCATTTCTTCCCGATTCCTATATTCCTAACATCACAGAATATTTCTAGGCTTGCATAACAACATGGCTTGGAAGAAGCACGCTACAGTTTTGGCTTATGGGTAGTCCTTCTTAAGCTTCAGAAGATTAAGCTGCATGGTTAGCATCAAAGAGCGGGATTGAGTGTTCCAACTATAAGCATCCCCAAGCGAACATCCTTCCTTCTTCCATCATTACTCTTAAGTTTGTTTTTTTTTCTTTGTTTTTGAAGGAATTTCAGAAAGAGAACTATTATATTCTTCATGCCTAACATGAGAGCTGTCTATTATAGGGTGAAAATGTTCACTAGAGATGATAGAGGTCGCATTTGGTGTCTTTACTACTATGTTACAGTGTTTGATGTGTGAAGACGATCCCTAAGTTATAACCCTTGAACCCCATATATTTACTGTCTCCATCACCCTTCTAGCAATATACATGTATTCTTGTTGTTGATTTTGATAGTTATATAATCATATGGAATCTTTGGGCCCTTGCCATTGCTTATCAACTCTGCCAGCTTGGTTGGGAAATTGGAACATTCTTCAACTTTGCTAGAAAACTTACTGTTAGACATCACCGTTGGGCAGAACGAGATGGCCCGTAACATATAGCCTTGCGCACATGAAATAGTGCCATCGAAAGAACCCCTCTTCATCTTCGTGGGTATCATCCTAGTCAGCCTCTACATCATCATTGTTGTTGACTCATTAGGTTACATCATTAGCACACCCTAACAAAAAATGGCGACTCCATCGAGGAGGTCGTCGTAGAGCTTCATCATGTTCTGCTCTCTTTTAGTTATATAATATTTCCCACATCCCTTTTCTATGATATTTATTCACCTTCAACCAAGCTTTTCCGACCATGCTTATTACAAGAGCCACTTCATCCCACATTGCCAATGGGAATCAAGAGCATGGCTAGGACGATGGATGGGAGGTTCAACAGCCACGCCCGTCGACAGATGTTTTCAATGACCTCTTGCAAGGTATCACCGATCCTAGCCTTACATCCCTAGCTTGAGTCATCCATGTCCTGCATGAAGACCAATAAAGGACTACCCAACTCCTCACCAACATTCAGGCGCAACATGCTGTACAAGATTCAGCCCAACCAGTCAATGTGGTTGGAACATCTCAGCCATAAGAAGTCCACATTGGGGCTACTGATGGAAATGGAGGTTCTACTACATGGCCTAATAGCTTAACACTGCTAGCAGTTGTAGCTGCCAACATTGATAGAGCCTCACCCAATGCAACTGATTCTGCCCAAGGTTTCGTCACTACGGCGAACCTTACTACTCTTCTAGATAGGGAATGTTCCAGACATGGGACAACTCCTTTCTAGTTTGTCAGTGACCCACCATATCCAAAAGAGATTCTGTCCAAGCCATACTTGAAGAAATATGAGAGTCTTGCATTCCTGCAATATGATGGGAGGAAAGGCAATGCTGTGGAGCACGTCAACAAGTTCCTTGACGCCATGGGGGCTCACACCAAGGACAAAGATTTGTGCCTACGTGAGTTTTCAAAGTCTCTCTTTGATAAAGCTTATACATGGTATACCACTTTGCTTCCCAGTTCTATCCACTATTGAGATGAGATGGTGAAACAATTTTGCCAAAAATATTGATGAAAGCATGAAAATGTATATTTAAAATGTGCTTAACCAATGACATTTGTGGAATTATGGGTTTAAGAGTTGTATTTTCTTATAAGTAATTTCATAAGTGTTCATTTTATTCATATTGTGCTAATTTTGTGATGATTAAAGGTTTGATGTTAAATGGAGAAGAATTAGAAGAAAATGACTTAAATGCAAAGAGTTGGAAAGATGAGGATCCAAGGATGAATCTAGAACTTTGAAGGCTAAAGTGAAATTTCTCCATATTTGATTAAGAGCAAAGTTCGCAAGTTTGTGAAGTTGTCGTGCCCTTCGTGAAGTTACTGTGACCAACGCAAAAGGAATTCCAGTCGCATCAAGGGTTCCACAACCTATTCCAGGTTCCAACCCCTCGGCAGTGTTGCACAAAACAAAAACATTAGGGGTTCTGCACCCTCATTGAGGTTCTGACCCCTCTCTAACAAGACTATGCGAGAAGAAAGAAAAAAATAAAATTAATTCCCCAGGGCTGCTATCCTAGTTACCAAGCACTCTTATTTTATTCCTAATATAAATAGGAGCCTTGAAAATTAGGTTTAACATATAGAAAAACAGTTCCTAGGCTTCTATTTTTCTTCTTCAAGGCTAGAGAATTATATCAAAGGGCAACTAAACTTTCAACAAGACTAGGAAAGATCATAATTGAGGAGTTTGACTTGTTATTTTATTTTGATTCCTTCATGGATTTTATTGTTTAATTTTATTTTTGAGAGATTATTAATAATTTTTCATATTTGAAAACCCTAAAAATTATATTTATCAAGTTTCATATAAGATTAGTCATGCTCTTTTTATGTGTAATTTGTTAGAATATAATTAATTGGTAGATTTGTTTTGCGGGTTGATCCTTTACTGCAGTATTGTCTATTAGATATATTATCGCTCTCGAATAGCTTGTAATGATAGATCAGTTTGTTCTTCGTTGAAATTAATTTCTCTCAAAATAAATACATGGTTATTATTATTAGTCTTCAAAGTTAAATCTTTCAATTGTTTGTTTGGGATGTGAAACATACAATTGAGTAATAAATAGGAATCAAAATTTATAATAGTTAAACAAATCAATTAAGTGAATCTTGAAATCTTGTTCATCATAATATTGTTTGCAATCTTTTATAATTATCATCTTTTATTTAAATATTTTTATTCCTAATTTTAGAGTTTATCTTTTAATTTAATTTCTCATTGTGACAACTCTTTTTGTTGATTCAATATAGCTTCCCTATGGATTCGACACCTAAAGCTACGTTACAACAACCGCTTAGCCAAAGGGTATTAATTTTGGGGCGAGACAAATATTTCCAAAGAAAAGAGCGTATCACTATCCTTGATCTCCACAACACTTGCCAATATACCGGTGAGGATTTTATGGCCTATGTAAAGAGGTAAAGAGGTTTAGAGATTTGGCACTTGATTGTTACATTGGCCACGCTGAGTCCTTCTTGGTGGAGACTTGCATCAACAATATGTTCTCGAAGTATCATGCTATGCTTGAAAACATTGGGATTAGTCAGTTTGCAAGGTTGCTCAATGCTGCTAGAAGAACAGCCATCTCTGTTAAAGCCATCTCTATCGGGAAATCTATGGCGAAGTCAACAGAAAAGAAAACCACTGCTCATACCTTGGCTCTCTGTCCGTGGCCAAGGACAAGGTCAGAAAAGGAGAGATCGTGATGCAGCATCGCCACTACCTATTCCTCTAGCTGTTGAAAAACTTGATGTGCTCTCAAATCAAGGGATCACTGACGGTGCCATCACGCTCCCTTAATCGCATCACGAGCCCAACGAAGATGACAAATGCAACCCCAAGTACTATCACTACCATCGCTTTGTCCACTATGCGACCACGGACTATTTTTCCTTGAGGAGGATATATCATCGACGAGTTTCAAAAGGGCTGTTAGAAGTGCCAAACAAAAGACAGAGGATCGACGAAGATCCTCTTCTATGCCATAACCAAGGCACTGTCAATATTCTCACTCATGTGGAGAATGCTAGAACAAGTGCACCAATCGTTGAGTTTCCTAATGATGTAGCTACTTTCTTTGTCTGTGCACTCCAATGAACTCTTAAGTTTAGAATGCTATTTGATCAGCTCGATTTCACCACTTATGCACGACAAATAGTCACAAGGCCATACTCACCATTGCCAATGAAACTAGAGGAAAATGTCTCAATGCCAAAGCACATGCTAGCCATGCTTATATGGAGTCATCTAACGCCATCATATTCACTGATGAAGACATGGAGGCACCATATCTTGACCACAAGAAGCCTTTTTACTTATCTGCTCAGATTAACTCTGTCGGTGTTAAACGTGCACTTGTTGCTACTGGATCTTCTCTCAACTTAATACTGCTGAGCACCATTACCGTTGCGGGAATCTCCTAATGAAAGCTCATCAAATCTCCGCTTAGCATTGTTGGCTTCGGTAGTAGCAGTGAGCATGCCCTTGGATACATTCAGCTTGAATTAAAGGTCGGTCCAGTCCAATCCCAAACTACATTTTATGTTATCAATGCGAAAGTTTTCTATCATATATTATTAGGCCGGCCATGGTTGCATCGACACAAAATTATTCCTTCTACTTACCATCAGTGCATCAGGGGCCGTCTAAATGGGAAGGTCTTCCGAATCTCTGCCAACTCGTTGTTTGATTAGACTGAGACTCACTTCACTGAAGATGCCTTCTATGATGAATTTACTCCTTTTGGCGAAGCAACAGCATCTCGCCCAAGTGGAATTGTTTTGCCAGCATGGAAGACATCAAAGATAATCTTGATCTTGACCTACGAAGTATCCTGGAGTATAAGAAGCAAAAGAAGGAGGCCACAAAGACTGTTTAAATAGGCCCAAAATGCACCCGAACTATCCTGTCTAGCGGGAGGATCAAGTACACTTTGTGAAGGCGCGTGGGGCTCCTCAGCCGTATATGAGGTGGCCTTATCGTTAGTAGTGTAACCATGCCCTTGGATTGTTCTTTCCTCACCATGAGGAGAGATACCTTGATTGATGAATGAGAACTCTACAACAGAGCAGAATGCCTCACTCTTAAAGTTGGAAATAAAATACTTGCCAAGCACTTAGATTCTTTTGGCGAAGCTGATCATCTTATATCGCCAGAAGAGTTGCCAACCCTCCATGAGGCTCAACCAATGCTCACTTCTCTGGAGTCCCTCAAAGCTATCAATCTTGGAGATGACCTAGCAAATCCCAAGCATGTGCATATTAGTACCACTCTTTCTATTGATGAAAAAGTCAAGATGATTAACTTGCTGCGGGAATATAAGGATGTTTTCGCCTGGAATTATGATAAAATGCTAGGGCTTAATCCAGCTTTGGTGGCACACTCTTTAAATGTTGATCTTAATATGAAGCCAGTTGTGCAACCAAATCGTGCCTTCCATCCAAAAGTTACTCTAAAAATTAAAGAAGAAGTTGAGAAGCTATTAGCTGCAGGATTTATCAAGCCAACAAAGAAGCCTACTTGGCTGGCCAACATTGTACCGATTCAAAAAAAGAATGGACAAATCAAGTGCTGCGTCGACTTTCGTGACCTCAATAAGGCCTGCCCCAAGGATGAATTCGTTGTACCAAATATGGATGTACTGATGGATAATATGGCTAGTTGTGAAATGTACTCTCTTATGGATGGTAGTAGCAGATACAACCAAGTCAGCATGTGCCTTAGCAATGTAGAGAAGATTGCTTTTCGCACTCCTATTGGCAATTTTTACTATGTCGTTATGTCATTCAGGCTCAAAAATGCTAAGGCTACTTATCAAAGAGTCATGGTGGCAATTTTTCATGATTTCATCCACTTGTATATTGAAATCTACATTGATGATATTGTGATGAAATCTAAAATAAGATTGGGCCACTTTGATGTGCTGAGAAAAGTTTTCAATAGATGCCGCTTGTACAAGCTGAAAATGAACCTAGTGAAGTGTGCATTCGATGTCTCCGTAAGGAAATTTTTGGGTTTCCTTGTGAGCAAACATGATATCAGTGCAGATCTAGCCAAGTCTGAGGCAATCCGAGCTATATAGCCGCCTAAGAATCTCAAACAACTATGAAGCTTCATCGGCAAGGTTTCATATATTCGTAGATTCATTCTTTCATTGACAAAAATTTTGTTTGCATTTAGCCCTTTATTGAAGAAAGGAGCTGCTTTCACATGGATAGAAGAACGGCAAGGTGCTTTCTCACATCTGCAGAATCTCATGCACAAGTTGCCAACCATATCTATCCCTGTCCAAGGCAGGCCACTTAAAGTCTACTTGTCTACCTCTGACAAAGCTATGAGTGCACTGGTTGCCCAGGATGACCAAGAAGGCAAGGAACAACCAATCTACTATGTCAGTCGAAACCTCACAAGCGTCGAGTCAAGATACAACTCATCACCAAGTCTCAGTCCATCCAATACGTTCTAATACGGCCCATGCTTACTAGTCGTCTCGCTAATTGGCTTCTTCAATTATCCCAATATGATATTGCATGTGTTAATCCCACCGTCATAAAGGGGCAAGCTGTCGTAATTTGTAGTCTGAATTTTCTAGTGGAGTCCAGTATCCTATCTCCTACGAAGTCTCAAGCGGTGAGGTTGCTACTACACAGGAAATCGAGGAAGAATGGATTCCACGACTGAAGGGGCTAGGGCTGGCGTTGTTCTTAGAGATGACAAAGGCCATGACATGGTGTTTTCATTCAAGCTTGATTTCCAGTGCACAAACAACACCGCGAAGTAGGAAGCTTATCTTATCGGCCTTGCTATGGCTAAAAAGGTTGGTGTGTAGTGTTTGAAAATCATTGGCAATTCAAGTCTAATCCTTGGCCAAGTTCAAGGTACCTTCACTGTCCGAGAAGAACATCTTACACCATATCATTCTTTTAGCCAACATCTAAAGCAGTCTTTCGCTAGCATTAGATATGAACAGGGACCACGAATGGAGAATCGATTGGCTGATGCCTTAGCCACAATTGCTTCAAGGGTGTTCATGGCCAAGAATCCCTTCAGCGTGTAGATTGTTCGAAAAGAGCAACCCATCTATTATGGCTGCGAGTTTGTTTTGCTTAAGCTACCTGATCATGTTGACTGCTAGTATGCAATTTACAACGTCATGTTGCAGCAAAAATTTGATGTGTCTTTAAAGAACCTATCCGGCTATGTTATTATTTCTCATGAGCTATACTATCGCCTCCCTAATGGAATCTTCGCTAGGTGCATCAGCAATACGGAAGCTTATCACAAATTAGGGAAATTCATGATAACACATGTGGCCATGATAGCTGTATAAGCCTCTATCATCGTATCCAATGAGTAGGGTACTATTGGCCAGACATGGCTTAGCAATCCACTGAGTTCCAATAGTAATGTGTATCCTGTCAACAAGTTTATAATCAAAACAAAGAATGCTTCTCCACAAACGGTGTTCAAGATTGGCGTCATCCTTACATGGAGTATTTTGTTGAGAAAATATGGCCAGAATCCTTGAAAGATGCGCACAATCTAAAGAGATCCCTATCGAAATTTTTCATGGGTGGCAGAGTTCTATTCCGTGCTAGCTACGCTGGTGAACCACTTCACTGCCTATCGTTAACAGAATCTCAGAAGGTCATGGCTAAGATACATGCAGGGGAATGCGGCGAGCATTAAAGACAGAGAAAGCTATGTGAGCAACTTTTGACCCATGGTTATTATTGGTCAACCATGAAGCAAGATGCTGCAGATTTTGTTCGGTGATGTCACACCTGCCAAGTTCATGCTAGTCTTATTCATTTCCATCCTAATTTGTTACAAGGCATGAAAACCTCTTGGCTTTTTCACACTTGGGGCTTAGATCTCATTGGTTTTATTCACCCTTCATTCGAGGGTTACGTTTGGATATTGGTGGCCACCAAGTATTTCACCAAATGGGTGGAGGTTGTCCCTCTTCACAAGGCTACAGGTTTAGCGATGTCGAACTTTATCAAAGAGTACATAATCTGTCGCTTTGGGATTCCATACAAAATTATAAGTGATAATGGAACTCTTTTTGTTAATCAACACGTGTGAAGATTGCTAGATACATATAAAATCAAGCACCAGAAGTGCACTTTGTATTATCCCCAAGGCAATGGCCAAGCAGAGGTAACTAACAAATGCTTTTTAAAGATTTGAGCAAAATGGTCCATGAGTATGAGAGAGGATGGAGCGTTCATCTGTAAGACACTCTTTGGCCTCACCAGACGTCATCCAAGACCACTATAGGTTTTTTACCTTATTTCCTAGTATATGGCTGTGATGTAGTCCTCTCTGACGAAGTCTTGGTACCAATCGCGCGCATCTTAGCTGTGGTTGAGCTGAATAACAATGTTGACATTTGTGGCCAAAGGCGAATTAAAGACTTGGAATCTATCAAGGCATTTTGGCAAATGGCACAAGAAAAGACTTAGAAATATTGAGCCAAGATGATGGAAGCCTATAACCGCGCAGTTAAAGCCAGATTTTTCACAGTTGCACAAATGGTCCTTAAGGCCTCTGACCATGTAAGGAAGAACATCACTGGGCCATCCAAGTTTGCTGCTAGTTGGAATGGTCCCTTCACCATCATGGAGGCACATGATAGTGGATATTATCGCCTCAAAACCCATGAAGGAGATTGCTGTCAGATTCCATGAATGCTAAGTGGCTCAAGCCATACTACTGTTAAGCTTCGTTCACCTCATTCATTTTGTAATTTTGCCTCTAGGACTGTCACTCATTCCAGCCAAAAGGGTTAATTTTACCTATGTTATATCAATCGGATGTGAGGTGCAAATAGCATTTTCTTATTATATTTGGCACTTTGCGAATTAGTTCGCTTGTATTCTGCTCTATCATTGTAAAAGAATAGGGAGTGTTTTCAAAAAAAAAAAAGAAAAGAAAAAGAAAAAGAAAAGAGAAGGAAGATAATGCGTATGGAATAACCTCCTTGACCCATTTCTATGATGTAAACTCATCTGTTCATATACAGAACAATGGAAAGATACAAGCAAGAAAATAAACAAACAAGCAAGGTTCAGACTTCGCTAGAAACAAAGATGTTCAACCCAGAGCAAATACAACTAAAGGGTTACATCGTGGCAGCACCGCCCATAGTCAACACAATGCAAAGGAAAAAGAATAAAAAAGAACCTGGGACAAACACAACCAGTCATGGAAGAAAAAGGTAGGGCTCATCTCCGAAGGCCTTAGCAGCCTCAATACAAGATTGGTGAAGCTTGGCTATACCATTGAAATTCAAATATTCTTTGTCTTGGTTGAGCAATCCTAGGTATGCCTTGGCTGACACCAGGCCTTCTTCTAGCTTGGCGACGAGCTCTTTCGTCTTAGCCAGAGATTTCTCCATCTCCTTGATATGCATCACCTGCTTCTCAATCTACTCATCCAAGCTCTCAGCCATGCCATTCCCAACCATGCCGAACTCAGTCTTTTCGAGGTACACCTATGCCAAATTTGACAAGTGTGTACGGATGGCACCAACTTCAAAGTTTGTGCTCTCGGCATCATCAATGGCATCTCTACACAAATAGAAGAAGTCCTCATTCATTTTAGAAAAAGAGGTTGCCTCTATATGTCACCAAGCTGCATGAAGAATCGAGAAAGTGTCCTCAACCACCACTTTCTTGGCTTTGCTGCACGTCATCAGGTATGGAAAGATGTCTAGCAAATGGTGTGCCCATGCTTCCAACATCGCAAGCACTGCGAACCTACCCATAGCTCGTGAATCACCCATAGGCACCAAGCCGAATCGAGCCAATGACACATCTCTATCCTCATTCATATCTTCCAAATTCTTGAGTAGCCTCACGACAAAGTTACCAGCCTTACTCGACTTGACGGGAGTTAGAGGGAGTCGATCACCGGCCTCACTCGACTTGACAAGAGCTAGAGGCGGTCGATCACTGACCTCACTTAACTTGATAGAAGTTGGAGATGGCTGGTCATTGTGCTCCGCCTTAGTTGTATCAGCAATTCTCTTCTCTGAGCTCCTAAACGGCTTGTCAGTAACCACCTTGCCTTTATCGGGAACAGGCTTCTTTATAGTGTTGCCTACATTTGATTCAAATTCTTTGAGGACAACCCTGTTCATATCATAGCTACCTTAAAAGCCTGTATCTTTGCCCTTCTGTTCAGAACCGTCCCTACTTTTAGATGAGGCATCGCCAGCACTTGATCTTTCACTACGGTCTTTGTTGGAGTCAAAGCTGATCACCTCGGTGACCTTCCCTTTCTCAACACCTGGCAAAACAAATAAAGGCACAATTGATCAATGGAGAAATATCACTTTTAACCAAGCAGGGTATTTAAATCCAAACTACTTACTTAACAATTTCAAGTACCTTTCTTATCAGTGGCAGCATCAGTTCTCCTCTTCAGTATAAATCCCCCAGGGACTAGTTCAAAATTGCTAGCACGAAAAGGAGGCAGCTCATTGATGAAGGGCGGTTGGAAGAGAAATCAACTAAGTTGATGGTATAAACTCAACAATTGTCAAGAGCATTTTCCTTAGCTGGCATGAAGGTGTAAAAATGCATACCTTGAATATTGATGTTTCAAGTTGAGTCTTTGCTGCTCTAGGCTTCTCTGCCATGCTTGGGGTGCCATATGACACCCTCCCACCTCTCTTGGTCTACAATGAAGTAATGGAGAATGCACAAGCATGCTTCAATAGTTTTTCTAAAAGGAAGAATCTTGATTTCGAAAAATAAGGAACGAGCTCGAATATGACTTGCAGTAAAAGACTTCTATAATGGAGCTTCATTAGCTTTGGCCTTCCTCACCGACTCGGCTATGAAGGACGTAGGATTACTCCAATCAATGATAGAGTTGACAAAACTAAGTACGTTGTCAAGAAGTGAAGGCTCACCTATTTCTCTAGTGTTGACCACCACCAAAAACTTAAAGGATTTTCAAAATGATGAAAAACATTACATTAAGTGTGAAATGTATAAGAAAAAGGAGTCGTCACTTGTCCAAATTATAAGATGGGACAAGTCACCTAAAAATAGGTCTATGCAGAGATCGGGGTTCAAGGTTTCGGTTAAGAGTGTGGAAGGATATACGCGCATCTCATAATCCTCCGTTTAAATACAATTACATACTTTAACTTTGGGGTTTTTAATTTAACTTATTTATTATCTTTATATTTGAGTCTTAATAAGTAAACTTGAAAATAGATGGACCAAATTATAACATTTTAAGACTTTTAGACTAAAATAAACAAAACCAAGAACATGCATACACAATAAACATAAATAAAAGTTAAGGGTTGATTTGATTAAATTCGAAACATGAAGGATTGATTTGGAGAGATTTTAAATCTTTGAGCTAAATTACTTGATCACGAAAAGTCATGGGTGGAATAGAAATAAAAGGAGGATAATTTTGACTTTGACCAAGATTAAAGTTAATTGAAAATTAGAATTAATTAATCAAGATAATTAATTTAACATTAATTAAAATTAATTAAAATTAATTAATCATATTTACTAATCATTAACTGAAATAACTAAAAAAAAATCTAATTGTCTTAAATTAAATTCAATAAATATGATTAATTTATTTTAATTAAGATTAACTAACCACATTAATTATAAATCAAACTAACTCACCTAACTAAGGCTTAATTTAAGTTTTAGTCTATTAACTATCACCTTGATTTCATATTAGTCTAGAAACTATGTTTTATTTCTAAGTGATCTATTAACTTTCAGATTCATTTCAATTTCATCTACTTGGTCAAAGATAACAGAAAACTTCCTATTCTGTTAGAGAACAATTAATCCTCTAACTATATTTTTTGATCTTTTAGTCCTTAAATTTATATTTGTTATAAAAATAACTTTTTTACTTTTATTATTTATAGGCTCTGATATCAGATTTTTATACAGGTTTTCCTATTTCTTTAATTTGGCATCAGAGCCTGAAAGTTAATAGACCACTTAAAAATAATAATTTTAAGTATAAAAATCTGGTATCAAAGCCTAAAAATAATAATTTTAAGTATAAAAACTATTTTTACAACAAATATAAATTTGAGGACTAAAAGGTAAAAAAATATAGTTAGAGGACTAACTGTTCTCTAAGAGTAGAAAGTTTTCCGTTATCTTTGACCTTAATCAAGTAGACGACAAAATTGAAATGAATCTGAAAGTTAATAAACCACTTAGAAATAAAACGTAGTTTATAGATTAAAATGAAATCAAATGATAGTTAATAGACTAAAAATTGAAGGTTAAAACCCTTTTTTGGTCCCTGAACTATTGTACGGACCCCCGATTTGGTCCTTGAACTAAAACAATCGCCGATTTGGTCCCTACTGTTTACCATTTTTACCCCGATTTGGTCCTTCCGTTAAAATCTCACCGTTATCTAAGACAATTTAATGACATGTCAAACCTTTGAGACACGTCAATTGTATAAATGAATAAATAATGACATGGTAACGTGAAATGTCATCTCCTTGCCCAACCCAACAAAAGTGGGACCCACCAAAATTACAAATTTGCCATCATCTTCTTCCTCCAGCAAACAAACCCAGCACCAAACAAAACCAGCACCTGGGTTGAATCGAACCCAACAACGCCCTTTTTTTTTTCCTTCCTCTTCCTTGCCTTGCTTTCTTCATCATCATCAAACACATCATCATCATCATCATCAAACACCAAAACCACAAAAAAAATATATATATATTTTTTACCCCTGGGTTCGAAGAACCCAGGCGTGGGTCCGCCTGGGAACCCAGCGCCTGGGTTCCAAAGAACCCAGGCAAACCCACGCCTGGGAACCCAGCGCCTGGGTTCCGACGTGGGTTGGAACCCAGGCGTAACCCCTGGGTTCCTTGGAACCCAACCCGGGCAAGCGTGCTGGGTTCCTTGCGAACCCAACGCCTGGGTGGGTTTGAAGGAACCCAGGCCTGCTGGGTTCCGAGGGGAAAGAGAAGGGAAAGGGGAAGGAGAAAGGGAAAGGGAAAGGAGAAGGAGAAAGAAAAAGAAAAAAGAAAAAAAAATTTAAATTTTATTTTTCATAATATTTTTTTATATTATTATTTTTTTCACATCATCACTTTTTGACTATATTATCTTCCACGTGGATTATTAGATGACATGTCATCGTGTTCCCATTAGTTAACAGCACACGTCACTAAATTTTTAACGGAATGACTAAATCGGGGTAAAAATGGTAAACAGTAGGAACCAAATCAAGAATTTTTTTAGTTCAGGGACCAAATCAGGGGCCGTACAATAGTTCAGGGACCAAAAAAGAATTTTAACCAAAATTGAATTAAGCCCCTAATTAATTAATAAAACTTCTCATATGTATATATTTTTTTACTTTTTACCCTTTTTTTAGTTTTTTTTTTTTTTATTGGGTTGAGTCGGGTCA